ACCGCAAGAGAATTGCTTGAGCCCAAGAGTTTGAAGTTGCTGTGAGCTATGACACCACAGCACTCTACCAAGGCCTACAAAGTAAGACTCTGTCTCAAAAAAAAAGAAAAAAAAGAAATACCAGACAAACCCAAATTGAGAAACATTTTACAACAACAAAACTAAACTACAATCTATCAAGTATTCAAGGTCATGAAAATCAAGGTTAAGACCTAAGGTTGAAAGAGTCTAAAAAGATACTACAATTAAAAGCAAAGCAGAATTCTGAACTCATTTGTTACAAAGTAAATTACTATGCAAACTGGCAAAGCATTGAATGAGGTCTAAGGTTAGATGGTAGCAATATAGTATGATTAAAAATTTCCTGATTTTTTTGATGGGTTATATGTACTTGTAACTTTTCTGTTAAGTTTCAGATTGTCATGTTAAAAAGTTACCTACAAAATTCATTTATACCACTTAAACTAGCTGATAAACAATGCAGTATTCCTTTCAAATAAGAAACAATATGTATTTTCATCTCTTTTCAAGATTCTGCTTCATTATTTCAGAGATACTCAACGAACTATGATCAATATCTGCATGGTGCAATACAATAACCACTATTCAGTTCTTCAATTGCACAATCACATTTTAAGTACTCAAAAGCCTCATGTTGCCATCAGTTAGTGTGTTGGACAGTACAGATACAAAACATAACGATCATCACAGAAATGTCTACTGAACAGCTGATCTAGAACTGAGAGGCTAAGAGATAAAAATAACGAACTAAAATCCAAAGAATCAGATGAACTTATCTTTAATACTTATTATAATACTGCATAAGTGCTCTAACATACAAGTCATTTAACTTCTCTAGGGGTCCAGACTAATTTCTTTAAAATGGATTAATACATCAAACACTGCAAGGCTACTGAAAAGATCAAATGAAAATGTAGATAAAATGTCTAGAACAGAGTGGCTGACACACAGTAAATACCTGATGAACACTGATTCCCTTCTGCATGTGGTTGGATAATTTCTTAAACTTTAATCTCAGTACTTTCAAATCTAGTTAAGCAATTACAGGAGTATCTGTTTGAAAATATGAGGCTTACCAGGCAATGAGATCCATGTGTTTACAGCAATAAAAAAATTCTTTAGTCCTTACCTTATTAAATTCTCATCAACAGTTAACACTGACTGTTATCTTGCTGGAGCACTTTCACTTCCTTCTGTTTCTATAATCCCACTCACCTATTTCTCCTGTTCTTTGGAAGCTCATATTCTTCTAGCAAACTTTTTTTGTTTAATGTTAGAGGCCACTGTGGTTCCACCAAAGGATATATATCCTCCCAAACCCCATTTATATTCACTCCCCTGGGCAATTTCACCCATACGTGTAGTTTCAATTACCAATGTAAGTGACTCCAATTTTCTACATAGTATTTCCAGTCCATACCCCTTCTCTGAATTTCAGGCCCATACATCTAATTGCCTCCAGAAATTTCCTCCTGAAAGCTTCAAGGTACTTCAAGTTCCATATAGCAAAATCAGAAGAATTTTGGTCCTTATTCAGTCCCTCCATCAACCTAGTTGTGTAAACCAAGAGTTACCTTTGAAATTTCCTTCTCTCTCACCTTCAATCTATCAACTAAAAGCTGCTGATCTCAAATCTCATCCACTTAGCCCATCTCCACAATTCTCATCTAATTCAAGCTATCCTCATCTCTCCCAGACTATTCCAAGAGCCTCCTACTAATCTTCCCAGATCCATTCTTGTGGCCTCTCCTCCCTTTCAATACCTATCAACACAATTCTAGTTCTGCCTTCTGGAATTACCAAAAATAAATCCAATAAGCTTCTAAATGACAACATTTTAAACAATAAGATAATTAGGCCACTGTACTCTTAAAGCATTCTGAGTCCCTTCTACATTATGACAACAGCTTCAAGGTCACATTACCATAATAGTGTGGACCCCTGAACTGAACATAGTCCACGTGTTGACATAAGTAACTTGATAGTTCATGCAAAAGACTGAGATTTGTGCAATCTAACGTTTCAAACCACAATTACTGTTTTTAATGTTTATGGCTGAAAACATGTTAATCCACTATTTATTTATTAAGTACCTACTACATGCCAGGCATTGTTTAGGTGTTTCTTTTTTATTATTATTTTTGTTTGTTTAGGTGTTTAAAGAACAAAACAGTGACCAAAACTGAGACGCTCTGATCTCCCAGAAGCTGTATTACGGTAAAGAAAAAACACAATAAACTTAAGAGACTAAATTATACACTACATGGAAAAGCGACAAATGCTATGGAGAAAAATGGTGGGTAAAAAGAGAAACTGTTAGTAAGAGGGGGCTGTCATTTTACAGAGTAGTTATCAGGCTGGAAAAAGTGTAAGGAGATGAAGTCAGAGAACAGACTTATTACTCTGAACCTTTGTAGATCACAGAAAAAGCTACAGATTTTACTTGGCTGAGAAGGGAAGCCATTTGGGGAAGAGAAGTGACATGATCTGACATTTTATCAGGATCACTATAGCTACTGAGCATTAAAGACTGTAGATCAGGCAAAGATCATAGTAACTTTTTAAGAAGTTATTTTTTAAGCAAGAGATGATGATGGTATTTTTTCCATTTTATATTAAATTTTTATATGCCTAAGTACTAGGAATTTACAAAGCCACAACTTTAAAAAAATACAATGCAAAAACGGATCTTGAGGATAGCAACAGGATGATACTGGATATTTTAACTTTGGTCTCTCTTCAATGCTACTAACAGGTATTACTACTCAGATATAAGCAAGGTGCAAGGCTATTAATTTATTCTTGGGGACAGAGGATTTGGTTAAGAATTTGTGTTTTAAGTTTCTTTATTTTGCTGGGCAAAGTAAATCAAGATCCAATTTACATCAAGACAAAAGCAAATTATGGCAGAATTTGCTCAAGGGAGTTACAATGAAAATTATCCTAACGGTGACTTTCTCTTTATTACTTTTATGCCTGACACCCTCTTTAATTCAGTTTTTACAACTATCTCTCTGCTGTACCTAAAAAGTTCAGTATTAAGTTGATGGGTAAAATAATACTGTACTTTCTTTTTCTAAAAAGATGCTATTGGTGACAAATCAACAGTATCATGTAACTGCACTGATTCATCCTACTTCTGGTGATTAACAGGGTAAGTTTTCATAAAAATTACCTAGGCCCTGGCCAGTGCCCAAAAGATCATGGGTAAGCTAAGTAACAAAGTTTCAGTCTTAACCCAGTGGCCCTATTACCACATGAAGATATTAACAACAAAAAAATTCTCCTTAACATTTCCTGCATCACATATCCTTTCAAGCAGTATATTTAGAAATATTTTTACTTTTCTTCTACAGTTTTCTTCCCCCTTAACATAGAGAAGAATGTCTTTACAACAAGTATACTTGCAGTAAGCAAACACTCAAATTCTACCCTACTGAAATCTTAAAATGTACTCATATGTTTAGGCTAAAGTCACCATCTGAATGTGAAAGTGAATGTTAGGGTATAATACAATATAAACATATTATAAATAAATTCAGATTATCTTTGATAGAATGGTATTAAATGAAAAAAATACAAAGGCAGTTTCAAAATTTCATTTTTTCCTGCCCAATCAGTAAAAATAACAAAAACAAAAGGCCCACAAACTTTCTCCTACAGCTTTTAACCAACAGAAAAATAGTGCGACGATTTAATCAACCGCCGAAGAAACAGGAAAGAGAAAGCAATTATCTGGAAAGACTTTCAGTTACCTACCAAGATACTAATATAATTACCAATAAAATACAAAACCAAGTTGTTTAAGAATATAGGATATAGCCTTCTATGTTCTGCTGCTGAGGCAGTCATTTGCATGAATTCTTTTAAAACAAGAAAATAATGCATTTACTAATTCGCTTTACCTAAAATTTGGGGGAACTCCTCAAATTGGGGAAATGTAAGATCAGCATGCTATTTATCAATGCCACCAGCCAAAACATTAAAAACTTTTTCATCAGTTTTGCCTTAAATATCTCGTTCACTGGTAGTGAAGATGTAAGTCAAAATCTCATCCAAAATGAATGAGAAACATTCAACACGTAGACCACGCAATACAGTACAGAAACATGTTGAAGGTTATTTCAAAACTCAACATTTGAATCTGTGAATGTCTTAACCAAATACTCAAAAGCAGGCACCTACTTTTAAGACAATTTTTCCAAATACGTGTAGGGGCAAGCCCGCCAGCCATCTGTAAGAAATCTCTTCTTATGTTTCCAAATTCTGGTCTGCGGAGCGGCCGAAAAATTAAGCTAAGCTTAAATCTCCTGGCCCTTTGGGTGTCAGCCCAGGCAACGAGTTTTAAAAAACAAGGATGGGCGAGTAGTTGGAAATTAAGAGTATGGAGTAAAAAGCTGATGTAGAGAGGCGTCGGCCTTCCTATTCGCCCATCGAGAGGTCACAGCGCAGTAAAGTTTGGTTACACAAGCGGGCTCGGACGCCAGCGACAAAAGCAAAGTCTCCCAAGTAAAACAGACGCGGGGGTCAGTAGCGTCCGGAAGCCCAGGAGGACACGTTTACACGAAGGGGGGGAGTGGGGGTACCGTGGCGGCTCCGGCGTGGAGCCCCTTCCCCCGCGCCGGACCCCGCACCTGGGCCGGGACCGGCTCCGCCAGCTAAGGCGGCGGGAGAGCGTAGGCCACAAGGAGGAAATGGGACGGAGTGCCGACAGCGAGGCGGCCTGCACGGGGCCTGCGTCTCCCCGGAGCGCGAGAGCAGGGGGCCCTCCCGGCCGCAGCCTCCCCCGCCTCGGGTGGCAGCTCCAACTTTCCTCCAAGCGCAGGACACCGCCTGGGCCGCGCGAAATTCTGAAACTTCGCCCGCCCTCCGGGCACCGCAGGCCGGCTCCTCCGCTCGGCGCGGGCCCCTAAGCCCCACCTCGCCCCGACAGCTGCCCGAGCCCATCGCCCCCCACACCGGGGTCGGCCCGTGTTTACCTCAGGCCGAGGTCCAGGCGCTTGCTCCGGCGGCGGCGGCCCCTCCGCTGACGTCTAAGGGCCCCGTCACTGTGCCGCCAAGTTCCCCAACATGGACTCCTCTGATCGCTTCAAGGTGTTCCGGGGTGCTGGGGCACCGGCTTCGCTGACCAGGTCGGGAGGGGACGGCGAAGCAGAGACCGAGTTGAGCTGCTCCGCGCGGCTTGCGCCACCGCTGCTCCCCCTTCCCTCGCCTTGTCTAGCTTCCTCCCCCCCAACCCGTGCGTCTCCCTCCTCCCCTCACCACCACCCCCCCCGCCTCTCTCCGCTCCGCTCAGCCGCGCCGCCACAGGTCGGCGCGCTACGGTGACGACGGCGGCAGCCGGACCTGCCACATTCTGCTTAGGGCCCTGGGTCCACCGCCGCAGCGCTCAACCGGACCGCACGGGGGCGCTGGCAAAGCACCGCTGGAGCCGGAGCTGCGTAGTGGGCGGAGTGACGTCGCGCGGCCTGTGAGCGGGAGGACCCGCCGCGGGGAGTGGAGGGGCCTTCTGGGAAACATCCTTCCGGCCTCGCACTCCGTCCGCGCGGTAGTTGTGCGCATGCGCGGCGCGTGAAGGTCGGTGTCCTAACGGCTTACGCGGCCTTACAGGCTAGGTCGCTGAAGACAGTGAAAGTGATTTCAGGGCAACTAGACCGGGTTTGCATGGCTTGTGCTCTACGATATTTATAGTAATCTGATTTTATAAGGAGTTCCGTAAGTTGTTTGGCGGCGGATTGAGTCTGCATACGGCGGCGTGGCCCACCTGAAATACGTCCTGCCGAAGGCTAAAGTGTCACCAACTTGTAAGCCCACCTCTTCCTTTCCTTCTGGTGAGCATTTTTTGGTTTGAGATAGTCTCACTCTGTTGCCCAGGTTAGAATGCTGTGGAGTCAGCCTCGCTCACAGCAACCTCAAACTCCTGGGCTCAAGCAGTCCTCCTGCCTTAGCCTCCCTGATAACTGGGGTTACAGGCATCCACCACCAACGCCCGGCTAAATTTTCTTTTTTCTTTTTGTAGTAGAGACGAGGTCTCGGTCTTGCTCGGGCTGGTGTTCGACCCTTGAGCTCACACAGTCCTCCTGGCCTCGGCCTCCCAGAGTGCTGGGATTCTGGGCCTGAGCCACCACACCCGGCTCTGGTGGGCATTGTTTTTAATGCCAAAATGAGAAGTTTCCCACTTGACTCACCGAACCTAGGGGCTCTTCCCCTATCTTAATCCCACATCAAAAAATTGAAATTCATCGTGACTAACTTTAAAGACTTCCACTTTGCAATTAGTGACGTGATGTTGCTGGAGTCTGCGGTTTGGAACGTGTGCCATTGTCAACTCGGTCCCAGACAATTCGCCAGATCTTAAGTTTTATACATCAGAAATGTCTTTACAGACTTTTTTGAAAGCCACTGACTTTTAACCTCCTGGTTTCTCTTCTGGACAATTTCAGCAGTCTCCAGAGTGCCCTTCTTGCATTCGATATACACTGTCTTTTACCAGGCTGTCCTTCCGGGCCCCAACCTCGCCATCGTCCCACTATGGGCTCCCGGAGAGGGGGTGAAGCTCTGCTACCCTACACCCGGCGAGTTCGGCTTACCCAGGGTTCAGTAGCTCCCAACCTTTCCTACTGGCTGCCCATCTCTCGTTTTCTACAGGCGCTGCGCTCCCCCAGCCACGCTGACCCTGCCCACTATGGGTTTCCTCCACACTTTGACTAGAGTACCGCCGCCAGGCCGCTTTTCGGCTGCTTAGCACATTCTCGTCGACTAGAGTGGTCGAGGGTACCCCTTCACCCTGCCCTAACCAAGTCACTTTACTGACAGCCTCGTCCTCTGCATTGTGTTAGGTCTCCACAGTAAGGACTTGGACAACATCTTAACATTTTTGTTACAGTAGCGCCTGGCACTTAGAAATTGATAAATCCTGAAGGAATACATGAGTAGCAACCTTGTGTCTTTAAAAGTCTTAGGGAGTTTTACAATGTATTGTCTTTGGTATAAGGTTTAGAAATGTAGATGGCTTTACTGTATTGGGGATATTGAGGGAACAAAGATCTGCAGGAATTAAAAGGCTTTTTTCTTTCTTTCTTTCTTTCTTTCTTTCTTTCTTTCTTTCTTTCTTTCTTTTTTTTGAGACGGAGTCTTGCTTTGTCACCGGAGTGCCTTATCCTCATATCTCACGGCAACCTCAAATTCTTGGGCTCAAGCGAGTCTCCTGCCTCAGCCTCCCAAGTAGCTGGGACTACAGGTGCCCGCCACAACACTGGCTGTTTTTTGAGATGGGGTCTCGCTGTAGCTCAAGCTGGTCTGGAACTCCTGAACTCAGGCAGTCCACCTGCCTCCGCTTCTAAGAGTGCTGGGATTATAGACATGTGCCCCCCGCACCCGGCCTTAAAATGCTTTTTTCTGATAAAAAAAACAAAACTCTCATGAAGTGCCTTTCCCTGTCGCTATCAGAGCAAATAGTACATTACAGAGGCCATCATATGTTTGTCTCAAAATTTAATTAAACCCCAATTGATAGCACATAGACAACTATAATTTTTAAATTTGTTATAACAGTATAGCTTCAGCAAAAGAAAACAATACCAAATCTTGATGTCTTAATTCCCTGACGGTTAGATCTTTATATAGTTGGCCTCGTAGGTATTATGGTTTTTTGTTTGTTTGTTTTTTGTAGAGACAGAGTCGCACTTTGTCGCCCTCAGTGGGCAACCTCCAAATCCTCAGCTTAGGCGATTATCTTGCCTCAGCCTCCCGAGTAGCTGGGACTGTGGCGCCTGCCACAACGCCTGGCTATTTTTTTGTTGCAGTTTGGCCGGGCCTGGTTTGAACCCGCCACCCTGATATGTGGCCTGCGCCCTACCCACTGAGCACGAGCGCCGCCCTATGTGAGTATGTTTTAAAGAAAAATATTTTCTTTTATTCCCAACTTCTGGGCTCAAATAATTTTCCTGCCTCAGCCTCCAAAGTACCTGGGGTTCCAGGTGCAAGCCACTACACCTGGTTAATTTTTAATTTTTAGTAGAGACTGGATCTGACTTTGCTCAGGCTGGTCTGGAACTCTTGATCTCACAAAATCCTCCTGCCTCGGCTTCCCACGGGGCTAGTATTCGAAGCATGAGCCACTGCATCTGGCCAGGAAATATATTCTTAATGCCTATGGGCTAGAAGTAGTAACTTCTTTCATGTACAAATAGGAAACGGGTGATCTGTAATATGCCATCTCTTGCTTCCCCAGGGAGAAGACCGTGTATTTTTGCACATGTAGCACTCTCATTATTTTTACACATGAAGATTTATTATTCTCTGTTGTATTAATATTTTTTATTTACAATATAAAAGGTATAGAATTTTAAATAAAAGATAAACTATAAAATGGAAGATTGAAGTTGAAATACCCATCATCAGTGTCAACATTTTAGATTTGATTATAATCATAAAAAACACAGATGGTTTCCATCATAAAACAGCCTTTCACCTGAAGGCCCAATTGGTATGTGGCACTTTTGCCAAGCACTTAAAACAGGAATTCTGTCACATAGCTACAGAAACTCATAGTGGCATTTTCTAAAAAATGAAAAGTAATCAGTGTACTGATTTTGATGAAGCTTTATCAGAAATAACTTATTTTAACTATTATAGGTAAATACAAAATAAAAGTAAGACAAGAAATTGTGGCACAAAGACCCTGGGTTAAGTGAAAACACGGTTCTAATACTGTCATGTAGGGCTTTTGCAGTTTCGAACAAATTGCCTAAGTTTTTAGTCTTCAATTTCCATATCTATAACAGAGGAAATTTTTATTTTAATAATCTGTGGCATTTTTATAGCAAAAATATATGAATTCAAAGAGTACACAGTTTAAGACCAAATATACTGTATCTATGTGAGGGATAAAAAATAATGCTATAAGGAAAAGTTAATTACAGTAGGTTTTTAAAAACCAATGGTTTATTTTTGTTTTCATAACTGTGAAGTATTTTAATCAGGCTAATACTATCCAACTGTTTTCTATGTGGAATTAAATTTATTTCAGCAACTATCAATTGGACATCTATCTTAAGGAGGAGTTTTGATGTGTATATAAATGAATGGACAGTGTTTCAGGAACAGTTTATTTTCTGTTTGTTTGTTTTTGAGACAGAGCCTCTTTCTGTTGCCCAGGCCAAGGTGTCAAGCTCGCAGCAACCTTGAACTCCTAGGCTCAAGTGATCTTCCTACCTATAGCCTCCTAAGTAGCTGAGACTCCAAGTGCCACAATGCCCAGCTAATTTTTCTATTTTTAATAGAGATGGGGTCTCACTCTTGCTTAAGCTGATCTAGAATACTGAACTCAAGGAATCCTCCTGCCTTGGCCTCCCAGAGTGCTAGGATTACAGGCATGAGGCCACTGCACCCTGCCACAGAGAAGAGTTTGGTAGGTTCAGATTAAGTACAAAAACAAAGAAAGACTGTGAATGCTATAAAGCAGTGGTTCTCTACCTTCCTAATGCCTCAGCCTGTTAATACAGTTCCTATGGCACCAGTATCAATTAGAAAATCCAATTCCTCATTCTCTATCTAAAAAAAAAAAAAAATACAATTCCTATGGATTGCGACCCATAGGTTGAGAACCATTGCTAGAAGGGAATAAAAGTCTGAGGAGTGGGGTGGTATCAAAAGAGGGATAGAATATAGAACACAAAGGGGATGGTGATGGTTATGTGTAGCTGTAACTTGACTGGGTTAGGAATGCCTGGATAACTAAAGCGTTAGTTTTGGGTGTGTCTGTAAGTGTTTCCTGAAAGAGAAAGCACTTCAACCGGCCGAGAATTCTCAGACCACCAAGGCTTGTACGAAAGGTCTTTATTGGTGGGGCGAGAGAGGCTGCAGAGCAGCACCGAGGAGAAGAGAAAGAGAGAGAGAGAAAAGGAGAACTTAGAGAAGAAGGAGGGGGAAGACTGAAGAGAGAGAAGTCAGGCAGAAGGAGGCGAGAGAGGGAGAGAGGGGGAGGGAGAGAGAGAGATGGGGGGGGGACATATTCTTATATAGGGGAGTTTTAGAATGGTGCCGGGCTGGTGGGATAACCAATAAGGAGTTATTCCTCAGCGGAAAGAGCCATTAGGGGCGGGCAGCGGGGAAATTGGAACAGGGTGATGAGGTAAGCAGGTCACTCCCTGAGCTAGGGGAGGAGTTGTAAGTTTAAGGGTAGGAAGGGGCTTTTTTAGGGGAAGGGGTGTCCTGAGGCAATAATCTAACATTTCCAGAAGAGATTGGTGTGTGAATCTGA